ATATCTCATCTTCCTTCTTAAATAAAAAAGTTTCTGAGGTGAAGTTACAGGAAGATTGTTTCTTTTCCGCAGCTCCAGGACTGCGGTATGGTTCTGGAGGAACAACCTGGAAAAGTGAGCGAATCATTCCGCCTCTTCTTGCAAGGACAGGGCTATGGTAAGTGATCATCTGAAGAGAAGATGCCAATAAGCAAGCACACGCTTCTCCAATCACGGTCAGACACATTACCGCACTTATGTGCTGTTCACCTTCTGTGTAGAGCTTAAAAAATATTATGTTGAAGTCTTTGTGGCTTGAAGCCTTATGTACTATTACTGTAGAGTTACGATGACGATGATAATCAAAATAATGTTACTGTTGCAAGCAGAAAGCTTCAAGATCATCGGTTCAACTGCAGATGAAACTGTGCGTATTGTTTCGACAAACCCCTCGCAATAGCTTATTGTACAATCTAGATAGAAAGTGGTCCCCAACCTTTTTGTGCCTATGGGCACATTTGAGAGTTTATGAGATCGTGGCGGGCACCAACCAATTAAAAAGGCCAAATTTTCTTTTCTCTGGACAAATAAGATATGGATACCAAATAATATGCAAAACAACACGACGTTTAATGATACAAGAAACCACGCGATCAAAAATACGTAGTTTTATAAGTACGATTATTATTACTCAAGTGGGAAGTTAGTGTGATGTTTGACGCTGCATTTCATTGGCCAGCTTTTCAAATTTAGGAGTGTAGGATGATGTTGCTGCTCGCAAACAAACGCCAAGATGGGCGTCAGTAAGTCGAGATCTGCGCTTTGATTTTATAATGTTCATGATTGAACGGCCTTCATTATTCAGTATAATCTCTTTCCGTAACAACGCAGGCACCCAAAAGAGCCTTGGTGGGCGCCCGCGGGCACTGCGTTGGGGACCACTGATCTAGATAGAAAGTGGGCTTTAATGTTTATTTTTATACATCTTACAGCAGATGTTGATAAATCAGTATGTATTTTGAGTGACATGTCTTTACAAAACTGGCTAGATAAACAGGTTAATTGAACACTGATTGGCATTGTTTCAAAACTTTATTTTCATTGTTACCTCTATGGGAGAATGACTCTGGTATGTATTAAAAACATTATCAATATATTAACATAAATATAATAATCAGTTTCTGATAATGCTAGATAGAAGAAGTGCTTATCACTGTGGATAAACATGTAAGACTGCTTTTGGCAATTAATTTTGCATTTATAGTTATTATCTTTTAATTTTATATCAAATGTAAAATTTGAGGTTTTCACAGCGGTGAGTATGAAGATTTCTGTCTTCTGGGTTGGTGCGCCGTGTAGTCTGGTCGACGTTAACCAACGTTTCAGAGGTCGTACTTCCTCCGTCATCAGGGCGATGAATTTGCAAATAGGGTGCGTGCATATTCATCTCCCTGATGACGGAGGCAGTATGATCTCTGAAACGTTGGTTAACGTCGACCAGACTACACAGCGCAACAACTCAGAAGACAGAAATCTTCATCTTATTTGAAATGGTTTATATGCTTTCCGTTTACCTAGCGTAGCGTTAAAACTTATACCAAGCATTGTGCGTTTGCTTTTTTTTTTACCTTGGTTGTTGAATTTTAATGTGTTCTTTGCACAATGTGCACAAAATAAATGCATGTAAGGCTGATCATGTGCACCCATGTGTCTCAACTTGAGAACTACTGGGTGATTAGTAATGAACTTTGGTATGAATGTTACGCCGTTAGAGGAAGAGTCCTGAAGTGTTGTACGATGACTTCTTAAAATGTAAACAAAACTGAAAAAGAGTAATATTTTCTTTAAAAAATAATTAATTACATATTTATAATTGCAATCAATATAACATTGTGACTTAACGACTGTTTAATCCAGCACATGATCCCATAAACAAAATTACATTTTATTACTTGAAGTACATAAATATTTTATTAGGAACACAATTTGTAGAATTTCAGTTGAAAGTTGTTAATCTAATAAGATTAATTATTAGTTTTATGAGGGTTCTCCTCCTAAATTAAAATCTTATATATTGCACTGTGAAGTCACAGCCCTACATTTGAATTTTGAAATTCTGTAGGCAGCCATTTTCTGATAAACTTATGTAATAGTAGAATAGAAGGACCAAAGTTAAGATTTAAAACTTATTTTAAAATCTTTTTAGTTATATTAATAAAGGAAATTACATAAATTGTATCGCATTATACAGCAGTTTCATTGTAAATGTCGCATTGATGTCTTTGTCGAACGTATTTAAACAGCTGGGATAATTCGGAATGCCAAGGTACAAAGAACACGCGTGGAAACCCCATTTACTGTGGTGAGAATTGCGTCTTTGCGATCTTCTTTTAAACAGCTTAAGCACATTTTTTTCTTTCTTTCTGTTTTCTTTAAAGCCGTGAAACTTTCTCGGAAGAGGTCAACATCCACGTCGGCAGAAGGTAAATGTAATTAACAAAACAGTGTATGTGGATAAACCAAGATTGCGTGAGCTCCTCAAAATTCTTGGTTGATCAGTGTAAGTGTTGGCTAAATGCTGTGTGGTGGTTTTCATAGTACATATCGCCTGCTGAGAACAATAGTGACGTAACTCAGAAATCACAGTTTCGAGAAAAATGTCTTCAGACTTTTGGCGCGACTTCAATCTTTCATTCCTCGTGCGCATTACAACTTATTCGAGTAATTCCTTTTACTTTATTCACAATAAGCTTTGAATTAATGTAATTTGTAAGGTCAGCCGCACACTGTCTTACTCCTCTCGTGCATGAAGAGACGGAACGAAACCTTCCCGACAGTAGTGGCGTTTATCGTTCCCTAGCGGCATAGGGCGGACCTACGCTTCCGCCGCTTATGCATGATTTCAAGGTGAATGTTGCAAGTCTATTTATGGACATAAATCAAAATCGGTGATTCCGAGTTACTTCATTATTGTTGGTGATTTCTGTACGTCACTATTGTTGGTGATTTCTGAGTTATGTCACTATTGGTGATTTCTGAGTTACGTCACTATTGTTCTCGGCAGGCGATGTGGCCTTCTCTCATCTAGTTCCTCTATGGCTTATGAAGCATGAGACACCTTTCTTATATAAAACTTGATCAGCTCGTGGTTTGTGTTTTTGTTTTTGCTTCTTATTGCATTGCTATGAGAATGTTTTGCTTGCAATTTCTAGCTTATTGTATTTCTGTATTGAATGTACCGAGGAAGTAATGTACAGTTCGTTGTAGCGTAGTGTTCTGCTTGAAAGATACCAGATTCGGATTTGTGTACAGATAGAATGAAACAAGTGATGGTACAACACATTTATGTTTAACAGAGAAAAAGACAAAATTTATCTGAGAATCGTTACCACTAGAAATGGTCGCAAGTACATATTTCTTTGTCGTATCGCGCTGACATTACTTGGTATGTCTCTGATCCTTGTAGCGTGAGTGGGTAGGACAGAATACACTTGCATCTGTAAGATAAAATGAGAAATGATTTATAATTATGCAGATCGGTAAGTAGAACCGCAGGCCCCGAGATCGTGAACTAGTGCTGTGGCAGTTTGACAATCTTAATTGTGCGCAGTGATGTTAAATGTAATAACAGTGGAGGTTTATAATATTATGTACATGTTCAGTAATGTTGGATGTCATTGATTTCTTACATTTTTTCCTCTTCGTTTCATTCTTGTTCACTTCGTCATCTCTGTCCAAACATGTCCGCTATTAGTTTAATGTGAATTGCATGTGCACCTATCCTTGTCAGTGAATACTTGCTGAAATTTTCTGTGTTTGTGATTTGTTGGTGTAATTACTGTTCAGTGATAGTATTATTTTTGTAAAATGGAACTTGTTAATGTACAGAGTGGGTGGGACGTAAGTAGACATTAAATAATCGCTATACATTGGAAATATAGAGGTTATAACCATTTCTCAATGCCTGCTTACTTTCCACCCACCCTGTGGTACGTGATATGTGAGTTTAATGTTACTTTATCTTCAAATTACACATGCCAAGTGTCGAAATGTCATTTATATTAAACAGCGTGTTCATTCTGCAATAGAAAAATATTGTTATGCTGTTTGAAGCTATTGGTATAAGTGGTCATGACAGTTTTTTTAATTAAACAAAATTTCTCTAAACCATTGGACAATATTGGTAATGTAGGTGGACGTATTTTCTTATAAGAGAAAGTCCGTTGATAGTCTAAATTTGCACACAGTTGATTTCCTAAACTATAAATCTTAACAGAGCAGTTCTTATGAAATTACATGTAAATTTCTACCAAGGTTTATCTTTTAACTATGGAAGTCAACAGTGTCTTTTATGTTTGAAACACCGCCACGGTGGTCTAGCAGTTAGAACGCTGGGCTTGTAATCCTGGGGTCCCGGGTTTGATTCCCGGCGGTGCTCAGTTTTACAACTTGTGTTGGGCAAGTCCGTGGTCCAGGCATCACGTTTTCTTCCGGGGTTTCCCCCGGTTTCTCCGTAGCATCCCAACAATTACTCCACTTTTGTCGTCATCTCGCAAAAAGGAGGTCACAGCAGGAGCGTTAAATGTCGCGGTCCCGATCGAACCCATGTACTGGTGGGTTGTGAATGCTGCTAACCACCAATGCACACCATGCTGAATGGTGCGTACTGGACACGAAAAAAAATGTTAGAAACAGTAACCGCATTATTAACATGCTTATGCCTTATGCTGCATGAAACTAACATATGCTACATATATCTTTGCTTATTTGCAGTGTTATATTCCTGATGTAGACATGTACCTATTTCTGTTGCAGTTGCGCCATTGACTGAGAACAAAATGGCAATCTTCCGCCAGACTTCTTTGGATGGCCTAAACTTGACTAGCAAACATCAGACTCGCATATCATCCCCTCAGCACTGGTCTGCCTCTGCGATCAACATTACCGAAAATCCCATATCTGAGGCTGTTGTGTGTTAAAAGCCCCATTTTCCTCGTAGGAATTATTTTGAACTTACCGTGGCACTTCTATGCCAGCAGCACTCACAATGCAGCTGCTGCTTAAATTTAAATACACTGTTGCCTAATCTGCACATTGGATAAGATCAGCATTCATAGCTAACATATTACGTGAACTTGTTTATATTAAATTTGGTTCACATTTTAGCTCGCATCCACGTGTCTCCGTAAGGTACAAAATAATTCACGGATATAAATGCACACATATTAAGGTGATAACTCTGTCTGAAGTATTACGACACCAGCCACGCGGCGTTGCCATATTTTTTATTTCACGGCCAACATTTTAAGTAGCAGCTTGTGAAGTAACATATGAAGGACAATATTCGTCAATTGCTACACGTTTAATTTTATATGAAAAATATACTTAAAAAACTGGAGATTATATCACGATAGAGGGCAAACATATTACTCAGTGTAAACACACGACAGCCTGCTTTTTACTAACTGACCACCCTCCAGTACCCTCTACCCCTTATCATTCTCCAGACATTAGTTCAAAAATAATGTTATGATAGTAGAAACTGCCTTTGTAGTTTCTTCACCGTAGGTTAGCATATCTGAGCCCTCTAGTTACGCTGTGTTCCTTGCTCCGCTCCAGTAGAGCTCTTACGCTCTTCATGTTGTATATATAGCATGATAGTCAGTAGTGGCTTAAAATATTAGGCTTTTGTTGTGTACAGAACTTTAAACCTTGTCTAAATATTATTTAAGAATTTAGTCCGCAACTTACGGAAAATACTATGCTTCGCCATTAAACGATCACCTGTTTAATAGTTTTTATCTTCAGACTTTTGGCGCGACTTCAATCTTTCATTCCTCGTGCGCATTACAACTTATTCGAGTAATTCCTTTTACTTTATTCACAATAAGCTTTGAATTAATGTAATTTGTAAGGTCAGCCGCACACTGTCTTACTCCTCTCGTGCATGAAGAGACGGAACGAAACCTTCCCGACAGTAGTGGCGTTTATCGTTCCCTAGCGGCATAGGGCGGACCTACGCTTCCGCCGCTTATGCATGATTTCAAGGTGAATGTTGCAAGTCTATTTATGGACATAAATCAAAATCGGTGATTCCGAGTTACTTCATTATTGTTGGTGATTTCTGTACGTCACTATTGTTGGTGATTTCTGAGTTATGTCACTATTGGTGATTTCTGAGTTACGTCACTATTGTTCTCGGCAGGCGATGTGGCCTTCTCTCATCTAGTTCCTCTATGGCTTATGAAGCATGAGACACCTTTCTTATATAAAACTTGATCAGCTCGTGGTTTGTGTTTTTGTTTTTGCTTCTTATTGCATTGCTATGAGAATGTTTTGCTTGCAATTTCTAGCTTATTGTATTTCTGTATTGAATGTACCGAGGAAGTAATGTACAGTTCGTTGTAGCGTAGTGTTCTGCTTGAAAGATACCAGATTCGGATTTGTGTACAGATAGAATGAAACAAGTGATGGTACAACACATTTATGTTTAACAGAGAAAAAGACAAAATTTATCTGAGAATCGTTACCACTAGAAATGGTCGCAAGTACATATTTCTTTGTCGTATCGCGCTGACATTACTTGGTATGTCTCTGATCCTTGTAGCGTGAGTGGGTAGGACAGAATACACTTGCATCTGTAAGATAAAATGAGAAATGATTTATAATTATGCAGATCGGTAAGTAGAACCGCAGGCCCCGAGATCGTGAACTAGTGCTGTGGCAGTTTGACAATCTTAATTGTGCGCAGTGATGTTAAATGTAATAACAGTGGAGGTTTATAATATTATGTACATGTTCAGTAATGTTGGATGTCATTGATTTCTTACATTTTTTCCTCTTCGTTTCATTCTTGTTCACTTCGTCATCTCTGTCCAAACATGTCCGCTATTAGTTTAATGTGAATTGCATGTGCACCTATCCTTGTCAGTGAATACTTGCTGAAATTTTCTGTGTTTGTGATTTGTTGGTGTAATTACTGTTCAGTGATAGTATTATTTTTGTAAAATGGAACTTGTTAATGTACAGAGTGGGTGGGACGTAAGTAGACATTAAATAATCGCTATACATTGGAAATATAGAGGTTATAACCATTTCTCAATGCCTGCTTACTTTCCACCCACCCTGTGGTACGTGATATGTGAGTTTAATGTTACTTTATCTTCAAATTACACATGCCAAGTGTCGAAATGTCATTTATATTAAACAGCGTGTTCATTCTGCAATAGAAAAATATTGTTATGCTGTTTGAAGCTATTGGTATAAGTGGTCATGACAGTTTTTTTAATTAAACAAAATTTCTCTAAACCATTGGACAATATTGGTAATGTAGGTGGACGTATTTTCTTATAAGAGAAAGTCCGTTGATAGTCTAAATTTGCACACAGTTGATTTCCTAAACTATAAATCTTAACAGAGCAGTTCTTATGAAATTACATGTAAATTTCTACCAAGGTTTATCTTTTAACTATGGAAGTCAACAGTGTCTTTTATGTTTGAAACACCGCCACGGTGGTCTAGCAGTTAGAACGCTGGGCTTGTAATCCTGGGGTCCCGGGTTTGATTCCCGGCGGTGCTCAGTTTTACAACTTGTGTTGGGCAAGTCCGTGGTCCAGGCATCACGTTTTCTTCCGGGGTTTCCCCCGGTTTCTCCGTAGCATCCCAACAATTACTCCACTTTTGTCGTCATCTCGCAAAAAGGAGGTCACAGCAGGAGCGTTAAATGTCGCGGTCCCGATCGAACCCATGTACTGGTGGGTTGTGAATGCTGCTAACCACCAATGCACACCATGCTGAATGGTGCGTACTGGACACGAAAAAAAATGTTAGAAACAGTAACCGCATTATTAACATGCTTATGCCTTATGCTGCATGAAACTAACATATGCTACATATATCTTTGCTTATTTGCAGTGTTATATTCCTGATGTAGACATGTACCTATTTCTGTTGCAGTTGCGCCATTGACTGAGAACAAAATGGCAATCTTCCGCCAGACTTCTTTGGATGGCCTAAACTTGACTAGCAAACATCAGACTCGCATATCATCCCCTCAGCACTGGTCTGCCTCTGCGATCAACATTACCGAAAATCCCATATCTGAGGCTGTTGTGTGTTAAAAGCCCCATTTTCCTCGTAGGAATTATTTTGAACTTACCGTGGCACTTCTATGCCAGCAGCACTCACAATGCAGCTGCTGCTTAAATTTAAATACACTGTTGCCTAATCTGCACATTGGATAAGATCAGCATTCATAGCTAACATATTACGTGAACTTGTTTATATTAAATTTGGTTCACATTTTAGCTCGCATCCACGTGTCTCCGTAAGGTACAAAATAATTCACGGATATAAATGCACACATATTAAGGTGATAACTCTGTCTGAAGTATTACGACACCAGCCACGCGGCGTTGCCATATTTTTTATTTCACGGCCAACATTTTAAGTAGCAGCTTGTGAAGTAACATATGAAGGACAATATTCGTCAATTGCTACACGTTTAATTTTATATGAAAAATATACTTAAAAAACTGGAGATTATATCACGATAGAGGGCAAACATATTACTCAGTGTAAACACACGACAGCCTGCTTTTTACTAACTGACCACCCTCCAGTACCCTCTACCCCTTATCATTCTCCAGACATTAGTTCAAAAATAATGTTATGATAGTAGAAACTGCCTTTGTAGTTTCTTCACCGTAGGTTAGCATATCTGAGCCCTCTAGTTACGCTGTGTTCCTTGCTCCGCTCCAGTAGAGCTCTTACGCTCTTCATGTTGTATATATAGCATGATAGTCAGTAGTGGCTTAAAATATTAGGCTTTTGTTGTGTACAGAACTTTAAACCTTGTCTAAATATTATTTAAGAATTTAGTCCGCAACTTACGGAAAATACTATGCTTCGCCATTAAACGATCACCTGTTTAATAGTTTTTAGGGATACCGTGGCTGTTAACTCTGCAAATCATATGAAATCCCTTATAATAAAGTTACAAGGGTAATGTTATGTTACATATCATATTCAAATGTAAACTGCTCATGTTAAAAGATATGCTTGTCTGTTGAGTACTGTAATGACATATGTGAACCGCCACTGTGGTCCAGCGGTTAGAACGCTGGGCTTGTAATTCTGGGGTCCCTGGTTTGATTCCTGGCAGTGCTCAGATTTACAACTTGCGTTGGGCAAGACCGTGGTCAAGGCATCACGGAGTTTTCCTCTGGGGTTTTTCCGTGGCATCCGAACAATTACTCCATTTTAATCATCTCACAAAAAGGGTGGTCACAGCAGGAGCATTAAATGTCGCGGTCCCGATTGAACCCATCTATTGATGGGTCATGAATCCTGCTAACCACCAGTGCACACCATGCTGAGTGGTGCCTACTGGACACGGGGAAAAAAATGACGTGAGGTTTGAGGTTTTCATGGCGGTTAAGATGTCGGCTGTCGCCTTGTGGGTTATAGTTGCTGTGATGTCGCAGGAATATTTCATCTTCAGATCTGATGTGACTTTAAGCATGAAGATGGAGGTGGTACATTCCTAGGAAGCATTATTAATCACATAGAATAGTACATAGTATCATAACCAAGAAGACCGCTGTTGACATGTATCGACATATAACAACATAGTGAATATGTACACGAGGTTTTCTTGATATTCCGATCAGATCGCTCTGATTCATTTCGACCAGTCGGCAGTTTTCTCCCGAGATGGTGATGCGATAAATATGGGGTAGTATTACTTCATTTATGTTGTCCACACATGTGATGGTTATCGTCATTCTGTGGTTTGCATTTTGCAGCAGTAAGAATTTAGAGGGGTGTGTAGAAACAAAAGAAAGTGAAACATTTTATTAATACTCGTAATATTTTTAAATCTTTCCTTACAACCTTTAATTGCCTTAGAGTTCACTTCACACATTTTGTCAATAGGTCAGGAGTTTAATAACGTGTTTCACCGATTTTAAGACGTTGATTGTGAGGTGCACCGTTAATTTAGTAACAGGTTTTCAGTAGAACAGGAATTGTCAAATTGTCAGTATTCAAACATAAAATTCTTTGTATCATTACTTTCAAAATCTTTGTTGCTGTATTTTGTGTTTAATGTCCCATGACTAGTGTTACGGAAATAAAGATTTTCCTTACTCTTTTTAGTCGTACAATAAATTTTTCAATGTTGATTCTTAGACGCCATCAAATGTATAACGCACTCCAAGTTCAGAAAATGTAAAACGTGGGAAAAAAGCACGTCTTAAAATTCAGGAACTACAATATTTAAAAAAAAAGGTAAAGAAACTTAATTTATATTACTAATTACTGCTGACATTCCTGAGTTCCATTTCTTTATGGCAGCTTTATGTAAAGGACTTGTTTATGTACAGTGCAACACTGGCTGCCTTGCAATAGGCTGATCATTTGTCGA